ATCTGGGTAGGTAAACATATAAAAGTAAATTAAAATCACCCAAACATGGAACAGGATTCACGTCTCCTTCTGCAACTATTTACCATATTTGGTTGGGTAATCTTGGTTTCATTTTTTAATTCACCTTTTCTGCATTATGATTATGAACTCATGTTGGGCTAATAAAATTTTTCAATGACGAAAATACGTACAAACCAAAAATTGATGCTCAAGGGTACAAATAATGACATTTACCTACAACGAAAACAAAAAATGAGGAAATTTTGAATGTAGGTTTCCGTGAAGAAGGGATTGTAAAAGGATTAGATATACGAATTAACGATTTAAATCGGATGGATTATTGACCAAATATGGAGAANTAAGTTAACTTATAAATCTAACTGGAATATAACGTTAACTCCAGTAATTCTTAAAGTAAGAAAATTCATTTTTCATTTTATAAACACAAATCAGTTAATTATCATTGAAATTATTAAATTATCATAACATCTTTCGGCGAAGTTCAATTCCGTAAATGACACCGTTTTAGAATAAATTTCCAGTTGACCATGAAGGTGTAATTTAGAGACAAAAAAAAATTAATCGTTGCATAAATTGAATAAGTATTGCTGAACTTGTGTTTTTTAAGAGCAATTAAGGCAATGCAATAGAGAAAACAAACATTTATATGCACTTATACATATAAATAAACGTTTGACGTAAGCAGCAGGCAATGAAGTAATAACACGCTTATATTTCCAGAAATCATGAAAAATAAGTTAAAAAAGAGAATATTCTTCATAGTACAAGTGGTAATACTAAAAGTATCTAAGCTGAACGTGGCGAATTCATCTTTGCAAGGTTCTTACTTCCGATCATATCCGTTATTTTTCCAGCTCGCTTTTTCCAGTGAGTCATTTTTTCGGCATTCCGAATTTTAAAATTCGCGTAAGAGAATGTTTGTATTTAATTAATATAATATTTTTTGGAGAATACCCTTTCATCCTACAACGCGACTTTTTAAGGAATTCCCCAATGTGATCCTCGTGTCTATAATATAGGCAAAAATTTGGATATCACTTTTTCATTAGTTTAACAGTTTTGTGAAGTCCTACTTAAAAAATCGAAATATAAAAGTCTAGTCGCGAAACATTATCTTTTTATATGACCGACTACTGAAAATATTAATAAAAAAATATAAAGCATCTATTTTAATCTACACATCGAAGATGCGATCAACATCATTAAAGTTAGTACATTTACAGGGATAGATAGGAGGCAAAAGATTAGTACGCTTAGATTTGCAGATATAGCAGTATTAGCATCTGGCAAGGAGGAGTAAATGATGAGGATGCCGTGGATTGAGAACATTAGAAATGAAGAGGTATTAGAAAGAATAGCAGAACAGAGGACTCTAAATATGCGAGATAGGTTGGTAGAATACCTTCTCAGGCATGAAGGTCTAGTTAGAGACATATTAGAGGCAGAAACAGGAGTTCAGAGGAATAAAGGTAGACTTGTTCGTAAATAGTTAAAAATGTGGGCTGTTCTAGTTTTAAGGAAGGATGGAAAAGAGAGGAGGTGCGTGTCCAACCAGTCTTGGGACTGACGACTTTATGATAATGAAAGCATATCTTATTCAGTAGCATTTTCTGTTTTGCCATTTGCATAATAGAATAAAAAAAACATTCAGATTCTTCCCCATAAAATTTGTACGTGCTTGCTTATACCATATAATCCTGCCAATCGTAATTTCTACGCGTGTAGCCTTGGATTATCATCATTATACCATTTAAGTTCACCAAAACGATCATAATTTGGAATACGAAATGAGACAATGCCTATATACTATCATATTTACTCTATGCCTAAACAATACGGGTATACCATTAAAAATAATGATTCCTCATGATGACAATGTGTCTCGTCTATTAATTTGTCTACGAATTCAAATTATGTGCATGACTAATTTTTTAACCATCAGCACTATATATTCACATTTAACTCTTGTTTCGGTGCTTTTATCCCAATTATTTAATCAACATCAATAAACCATTTGTTCAGTAACCAACAATCAGACAGTATATTAATTATATGGTAACTGGATTAGCGACTTTTAGGATAATATTAATCCATTGTTTTTATAAATGACTACAGTTTTTATCCATTTTCATCCACTTTTTCACTTTCTATGTCTTAAAATAGCATAAAAAATTGGAGATTTCGTGTTATAGAAGTTCAAGTTAAAGAAGCTCGACTATATGAGCTTAAAAAAAGACAGTTATTTTATTCGATTATGGTAACGTGCCTATGACGTAGTGGTTAGCTACGCCGGGATTCGCTTCAGCAAGTTAGATATCCGTATATTCAAATGGGCCTTGTTGGAGCATATGCAATCCTAAAATGTAGCATCATACTACAGATGGCGTTTACCGCGCCATTTGTGGTATTTTCTAAAACACGCTATTGAGACAGCAGGTAAAAGTTGGTCTGTGTTCTGTCGGAGCTGTTTGCGACGGGCTGATGAGATCCAAAAAGATCGAAATCGCGATCCGTGTCTGGCAGTTTCGACAGAATACAGACCACTTCGAATTATTTTATTATTTTTTTTGAAGTAGGGAATTAAGTTGAGAATAAAACCGAAAAGTGTAACGTCACGCACCACGTGTGACCCCTGGAGGATATGTCCAAAAGGAGTCATTTGAACAGGCTTTAGAATCTAACCTGTTAGTAGCAAACGATAATCTGAAAAAAAATATTTTGATTTTTAAGTCCTCTATGCAGGTTTGTATGGTGCAAGCGTAAAACTAAACCAATATTCTGCATTCGTCCGAAATAAGGTTGTATTTTTCTGGTGCTTACTTATACCATATAATCCTGGCAATCTAATTTCTTCGCTACTTAAAAAAAGACAGTTATTTCGATATTAAAAAACAGACACTTATATATTAGAGTTTTTAGTTATTAATGATTACTAAAATTAGCAATCCAATATTAGCGTCATCAAATTCTCGTTTGAGTTTTAACTTAATTTACGTTGTCTAAGTCATAAAAACGATTGATCAGTAACATTTTGAACAACATCGTTTATTGAGGAAATTCATTCATCTCTTTTTAAATTAATGATTTTTCAGTCAACTTACCTATCCTTACAATAAATTAGGTAGCTATCTATCAGATTTACTATACTGTGTTTTTGCAAGATTTCTTACTTCATTCTTAATTGCAGGAATCAATGTAACAGTTATTTGCTTGGGAAATTCGTTGATTATTTACTTTGCAACTCATTGATTTTTTAACCGACATCGTCATCATAAGGTTGTCAGTCCTAAGACTGGTTGGACACGTACCTCCGCTCTCTCCTATCCTGACCTAAACTTCGCATTTCCCTAAAACTAGAACAACCCACATCCTTAACTATAGGGTTGTTCGGAAAGTCATTTCGTTTTTTCCCGACAGAAGATTTAATTGTATTCTTTTGCACCCAACTTCACATTTAAGCCGTATAATTTTTATATGCTTTGAGAGCTCATATAGCAAGGCTTGTGTGTGAAAAATTCCAATTAATTCTACGCAGTAGTTTTTGGTTGGTGCCCTTTTAAATATGGAGAGCGATAAGCAGCATTTTCGACATATCTTACTGTTTTACTACAGAAAGGGTAAAAATGCTGTTCAAGCCAGAAAGAAATTGACTGATGTGTATGGAGAAGGTGTGTTGACAGTACGCCAGTGCCAGAACTGGTTCGCTAAATTTCGATCCGGCAATTTTGATGTCGAAGATGCACCACGTTCGGGAAGGCCGGTTGAAGCTGATAAAGACGCGATAAAGGCATTAGTTGATGTGAACCGGCGAATAACAACACGTGAGATCGGATTGAGGTTAAATTTATCAAATTCAACAGTTTATGACCACTTGAAAGGCCTGGGATTATCCTCGAAGCTCGATGTATGGGTTCCCCATGTTCTCACAGAGAGAAATCTGTGTCGCCGCATTGACGTCTGCGATTCGCTTCTCAAACGTCACGAAAATGATCCGTTTTTGAAGCGCATCATCACTGGGGACGAAAAATGGGTTGTATACAACAACGTCAAACGCAAGAGGTCATGGAGCAAAAAAGATGAACCGGCTCAAACCATTTCCAAAGCCGATATTCACCAAAAAAAGGGTGATGCTGTCTGTTTGGTGGGATTTTAAAGGAATCGTTTTTTTTGAGCTTTTACCGGATAACACAACGATTAATTCGGAAGTCTACTGTCATCAGCTGGACAAACTGAATGATGCACTTCAACAGAAAAGGTCAGAACTAATCAACAGGAAAGGTGTAGTGTTTCACCAAGACAACGCGAGACCTCACACAAGTTTGGTCACTCGCCAAAAGCTTTTACAGCTTGAATGGGATACAATGCTACACCCACCATATTCTCCAGACCTGGCACCATCGGATTATTATTTGTTCCGGTCACTCCAAAATTTTTTAGACGGTAAAACCTTCACCTCAAATGAGGAGGTCAAAAACCTCCTCGATCAGTTTTTTGCCAGCAAAGTCCAAAAATTTTATGAGCGTGGAATTATGCTACTACCAGAAAGATGGCAAAAGGTGTTGGACCAGAACGGTCAATATATAATTTAATAAAGTATTTGTTTATTATACGAAAACTGTCTTTCATTTCCACAAAAAAAAACGAAATGACTTTCCGAACAACCCTACATTTGAGAACAGTAATCTAACGTAGGTCTACCTCTACCCCTCCTAACTCCTTTTTCTGCCTCTAATATGTCTCCAACCTTATTTTAATCATCAATCGCTAAATGAATTGTTTAATTATTAATTTAGTCTTAATCGCAGGAATCAAGAAAACAATAATTTGTTGTACTAGAGAAATTTGTTGATCATCTACTTTTCCACTAATCGATTTTTTAATTAATCAACATACCTGATCTTATTTTAAGTTTTATCAATCGGTAAGTAAATTATTTAATAATTAATTAATTTAGGCTGTTATTATAGTGTCTGTTTGCAAGATTTAGTAGTCCTTTCTTAATTGCAGGAATCAAAGAAACGGTGAAGATGGTGGAAAAGGATGGTGGACGAGCGTATGCTTTCGTGTGCGACCTTGCTGACAGGGAGGACGTGTACAGAATGGCCGAAAAGACTAACAAAGAAGCCGGACAGGTAATGCTTAGCAAATCAATCGAATCGGCATGCTTACTGCGTCCGCGTCAATAAAAAATCATTACAATTTTCAACGTGTCTTCTGTGTGTGTGCACTTGACATACTGGCTCGTGCTGAAAACGTTGGGAATATTGATTGGCCGATAGGTATCAGCAAACATAACACGTCGAAATTTCTGACGCAATTTTATTAACCCTGATTAATATACGCATAAAAAACAACTATACATATGTTTATTGCTTTTGCAAACATTGTATCTACTTGTTCTTAGTAGTATACTAATTGCGTGGGTTTTTCAGTATCATTTGAAAAAAAAAACAATAAAAATTGTCAGGCCAATGATAATTAGTTATGTTTAAATTTCCTTATGCTTAGATTGCCATTGAATTAACCGAAGGACTGTAAAAATGCTTCCTAAGCGACAATATAACTTCGTCGTAATGTGACAAAGAAAATTTTACTTTACGTCATAATTTAAGATGATGAAACATTATAAAATATTGTAGGTAGGTACCTTTAAATTTTGCAATATTTAAGCTTTCATGACCAGAACGACGGCTTTAGGTTCGAATTTGAAGTATAATTGGGTGGATTAAAAAGAAATTGTTACTTTTAGTGTCATATTGATAAAACGGTTATGGTTAGGTTGGACTTCGATGGTAACCATTTTCCAGTTTCAACCTATTATCGATCTTAATTCATCTTCAGCTAACTTCTTACTGAAGATCGGCAAAGAACGGCAAAACGTTTGGGACAGGAAAATTCTAGGAACCACGGCTTTAGGTTGGGATTTAATGTATGATTGACATTTCAGGGTAGTTTTAATAAAAAAGGCGTAAGGTATTTAGTTTTGTTACAATTTAAACTATCTAAAACAGAGTTTGAAACTAATCGTATAGTAATTATTGATAACTGTTAGTTCTGCGGCTAAAAAAGTATAAATACGTATAAGTAATAATATTTAGTGTTCTCTGTGTAAAAATAAACAATGACATCTTATTGGAATAGTTAGTAATGGAAGAAAAGGAAGCCATATTTAAAATTTGTACAGAAGGTGACATTGCAAATAGGTGCTCACTCGGAGAGAAATTCTTTGCTGTTGATTATGATTATGAAGCTAACATTCAAACATAAAGACTCAGTAGGTATCTACTGACGAAGGTTACAAAAGATGCAGTTGTACAAATAAATTAAAATATGCGGTAATATAAGATCTAAATGATGGCCTAGATAGGGTGGGTGCAATCGAAAGAAGAGGTCTCCCCCACCACTGTACCATAACAATGGGGGTTAGATGATGACCCCCCACCCCCGAAGGGGTTGGTATTAGGGGTATCGGAAGAGGGTGGTCACCTGAGTAAAACCCCATAAAAAGTTTGCGGCGGTCTCACCCCCCGCGGTGAAGTGAATGATTCCGTGGTCGCGCTCTCTCTCTTCTGCTTATAGGAATGTGGCCTTTGTTTACGTCGTAACAATTATTATTTTTCACATCTCACATTTGAATAAGGTTTAGAAACTAGTACGAGGGTGGATTGATAAGTTTCCGGCCTAACCAAGAGATGACGCCACTAGGCCTACCTTGAGGTGACATTCTATAGTACCATCCTTGGATAGCTTGTAGCTATAGTTTCAGCCCGATCTCCTTGCTAGTGTAGGTTTGACAGCACGCTGAACAAGACGCCTCTGTGGTTTTCGTAAAAATGGAAAA